GTCCAGTAACCATACTCTTTCAGCTGAGGATATAATATGTGTACAATGTAAGCTTTCTGTAGATTTTTGCTACTATGGCTGTGTTTTAAATGACTTTCCATTCTCAGGTTACACTAGCACAGTACTGCCCATAAACACAAACAGCAAATAGGTACCCATGGTGCATCATCTTACATGTGTGACTTTGAACATACCAATGGGTAAGACCATTTTAGGAAAGATACTTCACATGTTCTGGAGGATGATTTAAGCCATGACCTTCTACGAAGCTTCTGAAGATATATCAGGTTTTAAATGGCAACAGTGACATTTCAAAAAGAACTCGAGAAGTCAGCACCAAAGCTAGTTTAGCATTAATAATAGGTGAGCTAATAAATAGGTCTGTGTTTACCCAGTCAAGTTTAGGTTTCGCTTATTATGTCAGTTGGAAAGCTAGAAGAAAACTGGTTTTAACTCCATACAACCTGCGGTTATCATGACAACATCACTTTGTGAGACGTGTCGCTGATGCCAGCATAAACCTGAGAAAGTTCACACCTAAAACTACTTTGCACAGTTCCTCCTTTCCAAGCGTTTCATAATTCATTCATGTAGTAAAATTGAGAGCAATCCCTTAGGGCAAGGAGGAGGATAATTAAGACTGAGAACCTTCAATATGTTTGATAATACATGAATTTCCTTAGTTAAGTCTTTTTTTTTTCCTTTAAAAACATTTTTCTCCTTGAGACGGAGTCTCTCTGTGTACTTGTAGCTAGCCTAGAACTCAGTATGTAAAACTAAGTTAGCCTTGAACACACAGAGGCCTTTCTCCTGAGTACTAGAATTAAAGGCTTGAATTAACATAACTGGCCTTTAAATTCCAACAGCCTCTTTGCTCTTCTTGTTCAACTCTTTCTAAATGACATTATTTACTTATTGTGGAGTGGGGGGGCAGGTGGACAGTATGCAGGAGGCAGCTCCCCGCTTTCATCATATGGGTCCCAGGGATCAAACAGGTTGTTCGGTAAGGTTGGTGGTAAGCTCCTTTACACACTGAGCCATCTTTCTGGCCTGTTTAAAAAAATCAAATTACATTTTGAGTGTGTGTGCATGAGTGTGCATATGCACTACAGTACACATGTGAAGATGAGAAGACAACCTGTGGGAGTCAGTTCTCTCCCTCCACCATGTAGGTCCTGGGGATCAAGTCAGGTCTCCAGGTTTAGTGGCATGAGTCTTCACTTGCTAAGCCATCTTCCTGGCCCTCTTATTTGATTCAGAGCCAGTCTTCGAAATATTATTTTAGACAAAGAAGTAAGTTTTGAGAATGAAGTAACTCTTCTAAGATTACAGCACTAATAAAAAAGTTCCAAACTCAAATGCAGCTTACAAAATGGCTGTCATTTTCTTACCCTGCCACAAAATTAAGGAAATATAACAAAGAAGATGAACTGGATCATCTCAAGGATCTCTAAACACTAAAACACATAAACACTAAAAGTTTATGACTGAACAGAGAAGGCAGAATGAAACACCAATTTGGATTGTAAAAAAATGTTTTAGGGGACTGGAGGACTGGAGAGATGCATCAGCAGTCAAAAGCACTTACTAATCTTGTACTGAACTCAGGTTTGGTTCCCAGCACTTCCTAGCACCTTCCCAGTACTCACATAGTGTAACTCGATCCAGGGGCTCTGATGACCTCTTCTATCCCCTGCAAGCACTGGACACACATAGTACATATGCATGCAGACAAACATCATGCACTTAAAATAAAAATAAATAAATCTGTTTGTTTTAGCATTTAAAAATCCTAGGAAGTACTAATGTGGTACACACCTGTATACCAAGCATTTGAAAAGTTACGGCAAAATATGAGTTTGGGGCTAGCCTGGACTACATAGCAAGATCTTGTCTGAAAAAAAAAAAAAAAAACAGGGACTAGCCATGCAGCTGAGAATGCTTGCATAGCAAGCACAGATCTCTATGACTTCATTCCCCAAAACCAGATAACGTGGGCATGATAGCACTTGCCTGCAACTTCAACTACTCTTAACAGAAAAGCAGGATCAGAAGTTCAAGTTCAATGACAGAAAGTTCCAGGCCTGCCTGGAAGCAAAACAACTTACTAGGAAGGTCATTGTGAACAAGAATACAAAATAGGTTCAACTAGAAAAAAATAATTATAAAGTAAATATAGCATTGAATACTATGAATAGAAAACCCAGTAAGAAAAACCAGTTTTAAAGTCTAATGACACAAATATATGAAAACGCCATAATGAAACTCATTACTTTATATGCTAACTTAAAAACCAAGTCCTACCCCAAAACATTGTTATTGCAAAGACTGCAATCACCAGTGCACATTGACTTAGGCATCATTCTTGGGATCTATTCAGGGATGACTGATTTCTGACTAAGTTTTGAAAAATAATGTCTATATCCAAACAAGTTTTGAGAAATAGGGGATTTAATATTAAAGCTGTTCACTCACTATGAGCAGGAAACTGGGTTTGTGAGGCCTGTGGAACTGACCATCCAGTTACCTTGGGTTTTACTTCCATTTTAGCTTAGCCATAAGTTTAAGAAACAGCTTGCCATAAGGGAAAGAAAGGGCACACTTGTAGGCCCAAGGAGAGACGCTTAAAAAGAACCTGAGAAGATTATTGGTAATACCATTTCCCAGCACCTTTATCAACCTGGAAGAAAACTGATATTCATTGTGAATTGCTGATGGGGGTGGAGGTGAGGTGCCCGAAGACATATATAGGATTTCCCAAATGTATTTGATAATGGAATCTTTTTCATAGTACAAGCCTCAAGAAAACTAGTTACTGTCTTTTAAAAAACAAACAAGCACGTTAGCAGGCTGATAGCAGCGGACAGTCCCAAGTTCCAGGTCAACTTGGGCTAGGAACTACAGGCTACCCTGGGTATAATGATGCAACAATTTCCTTCAAACCGAAAAAAATCAGGAAGTAGTGGTATACCTTTAATAACAGCACTTGGGAGGCAGAAACAAAAACACTCAAACTCTGAATCTGAGGCCAGTCTGGTCTATGTGATGAATTCTGGTCTATGTAATGAATTCAGAGCTACAAAATGAGACCCTGTCTCAAGATTAAAAAAGAAAAATAAATAAATAAAAATTAAAAAGTAAAGAAACTTACAAGATTTAGGATCAGGAAGTAGACAATTCATACTCTCAGGAAATACCTAAAACTTACAAAATTCTTAAGATTCTTCCTCAAGGTTACTCAAGTGATAGCTATTGATGGGGAGAAGATGGCTGAAAGTTACACATGAAGCTCCAGGGATGCACCTTCCACGCCAGGGTGGGGCTTTTCAGTGGTGCAGCTGCCTTTGAGTCATCACAGTAAGTGTTCCCAATAGGCTCTTCACTTCATCAAGCTGGACTTCGGTGGTATTATTTCTCTGCTTGCTGCTGGTGCTCTATCTAGATATTTGTTTCTCCCCAGGAAAACTCATGTAACAGCTACAGAGTGGGACTCTCCATATTAAAAAACAAAAAACAACAATAACAAAAGAAAAAACACTAGCACAACAACAACAAAAATGCCATCAGTAAGATATCTAACAAGAAAAATAAAAGAATGTATGGGGGGAATATGAGCAAAATATAAAATATATTGTATTAAAGCAACTATTTTAATGAAAAAAAGTCTATAATACAGATGTAAACAAACAAACAAACAAACAAAAAAAAAAAACCCTGAAAAATACTGAAGGAATAAAATGCTGACATGGTATGGGTAAATTTTGTTATGCTAAAACTATAAAACTACAAATAAACACTGTGCTCTAATCTAAAACAAAAAACCAAAAAACAAAACTTTATTCCCTCAAATTTGCTTCATCTGTTATCTTAACAACCTGTCTTTGGTCTAAACTTTTTGTTGTTGCTTTTATTGTTGTTTGTTTGAGACAGGGTTTCTCTGTATAACCCTGGCTGTACTAGAACTCATTCTGTAGAGCATGCTAGCCTCAAACTCAGAGATCTGCCTGCCTCTGCCTCCCAAGTGCTAGGATTCAAGGTATGCACCACTACCGCCCAGCTAGTCCAAACTTTTAACAAGTGACAAAAAAAAAAAAAACAACAACATGAGGCAAACTAGACTAGTAATTACAAAGAAAAAAATGTGAGATGTGAATTCTTTTCAATATCATCTATTATTCTGGAAGAGGCAGAGATGGTTAAACATGTTATGAAGTAGTATTTCCAGCTAACAAAATTACTCCTGGTTTGTAAAGCAGAATTATATATGTTAGTATCTCTTACTGCCGTAAAAAAAACAGCGTGCTCATTCTAAGTAACTCATGACATGACTGAATGTAAAACATTTTACATATGCCACAAGTTAGTGTAATAATGATTCTCAGGAGACACACAACTTTGAGACTGCTTAGAAACTTTATGAACTGATACATCTCTAGTTTTGAAAAAATTCTTAAATACTGTTGCATTGCTAAATGGATATGATGTGTGTGCTATAACGTCTTCTAAATAATCGTTTATGGTCATAGACTAGTGCTACTGTCTGCGTTGGTCAGAACAGCTTCCTTTTGCAGTGGGCAACAGTTACTGCAAAGCCTCCTAATTGGTCAAACTACTTAGAATAAGTGAGTGTTGGATACTCAACCCTAACTGGGACATCTGTATCACCCTCTCCAAGGCTCAGGGACATCATGAAAGAGCAGCTGGTAGATGGTTCACAGTTAAGAGTACCAATTGCTCTTCCAGAAGACCCAAGTTCGATTCCCAGCAACCACATGGTAGCTCACAACCATGTATAACTCCATCCCAGGGGAAATGACATACTCTTCTGGCTTCCACCAGGCACTGTATGCACATTGTGCATAAACATACACGCACACAAAACACACATACACATAAAATAAAAATAAGGTTAAAAAGCTTTTTCAAAGAGACAGAGGAAAGGTGCTGTGCATGGCATGCTGCTGTACTCTTAAATTCACATGCAAGAATCTTCTGATTACCTGTACAAGACTGGGTATATCAACTTCCCATCATGGAAAGGAGAGGTGCTCATAAGGCTTCATCCCTCCCTGAAGATGTATAGGCAATTATAGTTGCTAAGGGAGAGAAAAACATTTCCTTCAATGTTGTAGCCATCGGTATGTTACCCATGCTCCCGTAAATAACTCCCAACTTATGCGCATGAAAACAAACACAATTAAACTCAGTGGGTCAAACACACAGAGAGATAGACAGACAGAGAGACAGAGAGACAGAGACAAAGAGACACAAAAGGACAAGGAAAACAAGTTTGGGACGAGGGAAGGGATCAGTGGGAAGACAAAGAAGGCAACAACAAAGTATAATGAGGCAGGAATATGATCAAAATACATTATATAGATATTATGTATGAACATGTCAGGATGAGAAAAAAGACGCTGAGATGCAGGAATGAAGAACATCTAGACTTTCAACAACATCACTGTGAAAGTAGAGTGCTTGGGGGCTGACTGGAAGTCAGACTTTTGTTTCCCTATAAAGAGACAAGAAGCTGTTTAAAGGAAACAAAAGCAGACAAGCAAGTCTCTGATCCATTTTTAAAAGTCAATTATTTTATCAATAAATAATTGTGGTATAGCATATTTATAGAGTATGATGTGATGTTTTGATCTGAATATACATTATAAAAGATAGAATAAAGATAATTAACACAACTACCACTCAAAAAATATTCAGATATGTGGTACTTCAGGCTACACTAGAGCGTAACTGACTTAAATATTCCTGCACTAGCATTAACTCTATATTTCTGGAAAAAGATAATGAATCAGGGCTGGGAATGTGACTGTTGGTAGAGTTCTCAATTATCATGTATGAAGCCCTGGGTTCCACCCTCAGCACCACATAAAAAAAAAAAAAAAAAAAAAAAAAAAAAAAAAAAAAAAAAAAAAAAACATGTGTAAGATCCCAGCCCTGGGAAAGGAGAGGCAGAAACTTCAGAAATTCAAAGTCATCTTGTTATACTGAAAGCTGAATGTCAGCCTGACTACAGACCTTTTCTCAAAAAAATGGAATTGAAACACAGGAAGAGGAGTGGCTAGATAGCTCAGAGAGTAAAAGCACTTGCCATACAAATGGAACAACATGAGTTCAATCCCTGGATGCCACAGTAGAGAGAATGGACTCGCAAAGGTCGTCCTTTGACCAACAAAGGACCAACACCGTAACTTGTGCATTACTACATACACATCTACACAGGCAAAACTAAGAAATAAAACAGATCACGAAATGTGATAGTCCCAGCCATTATGCCATCTGGACGCAGCTTCTTTACAACCCTGCTTAACGAGGTATCAGGCTTTGCCAAAACACTCGCTGTTTTCTCACTCTAAGTTACTCCATCCACACATCTCACAGACAAGATTGCTAAAGCCTAAAACTCAAATGAGCACCAGCTGCTTCCTTGTAAGCCCTCTCATGACTCAAAGCCGAGCTTCGCCAGAATAAAACAGCTTTATAGTAGGGCACTTTATGGCACACTAAGCAAAAGCCAAATCACGGTAAACATTCGTAAGCAGAGCTGGGAACAGTGCCATTCTATAGTTTTACATAACCAGCACCTCAGCCTCCCAGCATAAACAGTCTCCACAAAATTAACTGGCACTTTGACATCTAAAATGATTGTATTTGTTATCCTCCAAAAATAACTCCCAACAATTAATTCCCTTTCCTGTTGTGATTCTGTCTAGTTCCTGTGCTACATATTCCCTCTCCTCTTCCTTGCACACAACCTCCCAAGCTAGACCGCCCGACACTGTTCAACAGTAAACAAGTATTCTGACTCTGAACTAACTTCTTTCACTAGCACGTCAAATCTTGTCTTAACTAAGTCTAATTGAAAATCACTCTCCTATTCAAATATGCAGCCCACAGAAACCATTATTTGTTCATCATCCATTTGTTATTCTCAAACAAAAGAAACTTTCCTGGGGTTTATGTCACCTGTTTTTTAACTTGAAGCATGTGTTTCCATTACCTACTGACCTGCTCACTCTTATTTGCGAAAGACTTTGCAACCTGGTTCAGAGTCTCCACACTCCCTGGCTTGCCTCTGACTCCTCTAAAACCTCGGTTACAGTCCTCTTAGTTCGACACTAAAAACCTCCACTTTGCCTCCATTTCAGAAATCCATTCAATAGCTAAATCCTACATTCTGTCATAACAGCAGCTGTACTTCCAACTCTTGAATGAAAACACCCAATATTTTCTGGTTTTATTTATTCTCTATCAGCCTAATTTCAAAGCCCATCACTTTAAAAATTTACTACTGTAACCTCTTGCCACATTATACCTTGTGTCACACTAGGTCACAGAATTTATGCCAAGACCAGCTGAATTGTTTAACTTGCCTTCTCAGATAAAAATCACTCACATAACTACTGTACATAACAGAACAGTGGGAAATACACTATCCCAATTCTCATTCCAACTGCCTGCACTTTCTCCAAAGCCTTCTCAAAACTCCCCCTTTCTTCTCAATGTCTTAGATACACTCAGCTTGTCCTTCCTATAACCTTAGGCTGCTGTCACACCAAACCCAACTAGGAATAGGGTCATTAAAAAGGCTGAGGGTGTAAGTCCATGGTGAAGTACTTGCCTAGGTTCTGCAATAATTTCCTCTCCTCCATTACCAGCTCAGATAACTTCTTTCTATTCAACCTTTAGATTCAGAAACTCCCCCAGTACTGTTTTGTTTACTCTGCTCACCCTATTTATATTACCTAGTCCTGGTGATAACAAAATTTACATCTCTAAGTTAGACTTTCTGAATCTATTTAGTCTCTAAGAAAATTGATCCCCCTGCTGTTTCAAAGTCCTAAACCAGACTTGCTTCTTTAGCTTCTAAGTGGTCTTCCAAGCCTAGGTACCATCTCCTTGGTCCTCACACACTCCTGTACAGCATCTCCATTACAATAACCTCTCCCTCCCAAATGGTCACTCTTAGAAGCACTTATTGCTAATGTCTACCATTTTCAAAGCAAACCTTCCTTTTAACCCCTCTAAGATCACACGAAAACTGCCTACCTTCAAATTTTTGTTTTCTTTCTAATCAAATTTCTCACAACCTGTTTTGGTGCACTGTGCATGTTTAATTTACTCTTTACTTGACTTCAATCCTCATCACTGCACTAAAAACACTCTTACCACTGTCACCACTGCTTCTCCGGTAAGCTACATCATTATTTAAAATGTGGCAGTGGAGCTGGGGTCAAATCCAGGACCCTGCACACGCTGGGACCACCTTACCAGCCTATTACATTCTTTTCATTACACACACACAGTGAGAGAAAGAGACAGAGAGGCAGAGACAGAGAGCCCAGACGAGGGTGTCAGATCTGTTGGAGGAGGATCTTTGTGCACTATGTGTTCAGATGCTGATTTATGCTGATTTCAATACCCTGAGATCTGGTTACTGCCATGGGCATTGTTATATATGTTGAACCTGTATCCATGTCATGTAAGGAATGCTCCCCAATTATCCCTGATTAATAAAGTTGCTGACAGCCTGGGCAGAGGAGCTAAGGTTCCTGGGTGTGGGGTCTCAGGAGGACCACAAGAAGAGGAAGAGGACGGAGATAAGGAAGAGATTGGAGGTCGCCAGGGGGTAACCAGGAGCATATGACCAAGAGGAGCTTGGTCTGAAGACAGCCTGATGGAGCAGAAGCAGACCAAATGGAACATGTGCAAATATTTGGGATTTTGGATGGGAAGCAGACAAGATAGCTAGGAGGGTTGATAGCTGCCAGCTTTAGTGCTTTAAGGCCTATTATAAATCTAACTGTCTTTTATTTGGAAAATAGTTGGTTTATGAATAACTGATGCTTCCATCATGTCGGCCTGTAAGGCCAGTCTGTAAGGCATTTTCTTCATTAATGACTGATGTTGGAGAGTATAGCCCACTTTGGGCAGCGCTACCCCTGAACCTGTGTAAGAGGGCAAGCTGACTAGGTATGGTAGCACTTGCCTTTAATCCCAGGACTCTGGAGGCAGAGGCAGGTAGACCTCTATGAGTTTCAGGCCAGCATGGGGTTCATACTAAGTTCCAGGACAGCAGAGCAACATAAAGAGACCCTGTCTCAAAAAAAAAAAAAAAAAAAAAAAAAGAGAGAGAGAGAACTGAACAAATCACAAAGAGCAAAACAATAAGCAGCAAGCAGCATTTCATCACAGGATCTGCTGAAGTTCCTACCTTGGTTTCCTTCTGTGATGGACTGTGATTGGAATGTGTAAGCCAAATAAAGCCTTTCCTCTCCACATTGTTTTTCATCGATTTTTATCACAAAAAGGTAAAGCAAACTAAGAAAGTTGCTTTTTAAGTAATTACTTCTTCCACATGTCCTTGCTGGTAGAGCCTGCCTATACTTAAGAGGAGAGTGGCCTTCTCTTAGCCTTCCTCAAAGCCAGGTCATGGACATGTAACTTAGACCTAGGTACTAGGACCTAAGAGACCTGAAGAGGGACCACAGCCTGTGGAAAGGGTTATCTGCACTAAGAAAGGGGTAGGAACTGCTATTCCTTTTTAGTACTTAGCTGCCTGTGAACCCTGGAACTGAGATAGCCATCTTATAACTGTTAGGAAAAATATCACTAGCTATCTGAATATAAAACAGGAGAGGGAGTACTTTAGTATCTGCCGTTATCATTGACCTTTTGTACTTACAGTGAGAAAGCCCTGTCTCCGGGCTTCTTGATAGGCAACAGTTATCTTAGTTTATGGCTTGGCTTAAACCATTTTTATTTGGATATGCCAAAGCAGCCTAACTAAACTCACTAGCAAATATCTGTGCTATCCAGTTCCGAAAGTCTTAACCCTGCTTTCTCATTGACTCAGCACATCAGTGTCACTGCCTGTATCTTTTCTGCCTTTTGAAAACTCCTGTTGCTCTTAAGGAGCAAGTACAATTACACTCACATCTATGCCTCCAAGTAAAATTCTGTTTCTACCATAAGTCTTCCATGATCAAGGAAAAAGTACTTTTTACTTTCTAGTATACTTTTCAGATATGTCTTTTAACTGCTTAGCAGATATGACCTACCTTTTAACTTAGCTTTCTTC